AATTTATACCGGGAAATTAACAAACAACTAGAGACATAACAAATTGGTGTCAAAGAGTGGGACGGAAAAGAAAAAAAATGTAAACGAAAAGTGGCAAACCAAACTACAGCTTAGCAGATTTGATGGCAGCATTACAAGAACAGCAAAAGAAACAAGAAGAGAGATTACAGCAGTTGTTCGAGGAAAAAGAAAAGAAACAAGAAGAGAGACAACAGCAGTGACAAGAAAACCTGCAACAGTGGCAGCTCGACCAGCAATATAAACAAGAAGAGAGATTACAGCAGTGGTTGGAGGAAAAAGAAAAGAAACAAGAAGAACGAGAAAATAAACAAGAAGAGAGACTACAGCAGTGGCGGGAAAACCAGCATAGTGGCAACTGGAACAAGAAATGAAACAAGAAGAACGAGAAAAGAAATGGGAAGAAAGTCTCCAACAGTTGAGAGAAAGCCAGCATACACAAGTTATTTGGCATACGAGAGACCAGGACAAAGCCACTTCACTCACAGTCTGATGGGATGGTAGAAAAGTACAATTGGCCACTGGAACGGGAATTGGCAAAGTTTTGTAATAGCCGCCAAGATGACTGGGATGTCTTACTCCCTCCACTGTTGATGGTCTGTAGAACAGCGGAGCACGAAGCCACTGGATACACTCCAGCAAAGCTGATGTTTGGTCGGGAACTTCAGTTGCCAGAGGACGTAATAACAGGACGCCCACCTTACGAAGAGTTCGTGAAAGTGTTATCAGAAATGATGGATGATATTCACCATCAAGTGCATTCAAACTTGAAAACGTCTGCTGATTCCAAGAAGCTATGTTATGATAAGAGATGTACTGAAGTCAACTTTGTACCAGGAGACAAGGTTTGGTTGTATAAACCCAGAAAGACCAAAGGGAAGTCTCCTAAGTTGTCATCTCCGTGGGAAGGCCCATATGACATAGTGGATCGTCTCTCAGACGTGACTTTCCGAATAGAATGTGGTCGGCGTGGTAAGCCAAGAGTGATGCATGCCAACAGGCTTGGGCGTTATCACAGTCCAGGACATTTCAGTTGGAACGAAATGAACAACAAAACAAATGACGTTACTGAAGACATGTTACCTGAAAAAGCCACTGTTGAAGAAGAAACTACCCTGTTTAGAGAGGGAAACAGTGAAGCCATTAATGAAGTTACTACCACTAATGTGACTGCTACCGATAATGGGACATTACCTGATGGAGCAGATGAATCCCACTTGAAGCAGAAGCCAATGAGATGGAGACCAGTACGGAAGAAAATACGTCTTGTAAATTAAGAGACTTTGTTGTATTTTAATTTTGTGTTTGTAAATTCTGTACATTTAATTAAGTTATTGTTAATTATCTAATGGTTTAATGTTAGTGGATATTGTTCAGAACGAACTGTGCTAAGGAAGGGGCAGTGTTACGACAGCGGAAGTCACGCGATGCTCTGAGCATGCGTGCTGGAGTTTTTGGAAGGATCATGAATTTTACTGGCAACTCTAGTTTGTTCGAGGCGCCCTCTTTTTTTAGTATATAAGCCTGGTGAGAAAAATCAGCACGATTGAAGAGATATAGATAGATCGGCAGATAGATTGAAGAAATATATAATTGAGTCAAGTGAACAGTAGGCACTGTAAGTAAAGTGTGTGAAGCACTGTGATTTATAACGTTTGTTAAAAACGTTGCTTTTAATGTGAGTGTGGAAATTCTGTGTATTACAAAGTTTGTGTCTAGAAAGAATAAACTAGTTTTAATTAAGAAAGGACTTGTATCGCTGAAGTTCCAGAAAGCATTTATACCGGAAATTAACAAACGAGCAGAGACGTAACAATATGATCATGGACTTGGGAAGGGGATTTTTGGTGTTTTAATCCGATCTTAAAGTTACTTCCTGTTTCACGTATTTAAAAGGCTAGGAAATTGTTACACTTTATTTTTTAACTGTTTCCTTGCGGGGTGAACTTGTTATATAATTTTCATAACACGTGTTAAGTTATATTTATGTGATGGTTTTTTTCGAAATTTATGATAGAAATATGCTAATATTTTCTATAGGATGGTGCAAGTTATTAGGTTTCCATTATTTTGTGGAGTGTTTGAGTTTGTTAAATTCTTCTTGTCTGTTTTTTAAACTTATTAATAGTTTCTGTAACTACTTTAGTAGGGAATTAGTTAACGTTAGTAAAGCATTGAGTAAAGTGTGTAACTTCTTTATCCATGTTTTCTGTGATGCACATAAAGTGTGCTAAATTTGGACATTTTTAGAGTTTCTAGTGGATTACATGATTAGAAAAATAGTTTATGTAATTTTCGTTGTATGTGTTTTTCTATGAATTTTGCTTAGGTATTTTAGATGACTTCTTTTGCAGCTTTACTTGTCAAGATGAACAAAGTTTCTCTAACACCTGAACAACCAACATAAAGACATACAATTCACAATGGATAATGAAAACAACTACATGATAAATTTTTTAAACGATAATATCACACAACCCCACCCCAAAGCTTCACCACTAAAATTCATAGAAATAACACATACAGTGGAAAGTACATGAACTGGTTTTCTAATCATGTAATCCACCAGAAGCTAGGCACTCTGTTGGATATATAAGACTGTTTTGCTTAATAGTTATTAGTTATTTAATATTTAATGAATATTTAGTTTTCATAACAAGTGTTAAAAATTAATTTTTTTAAAGATAATAGTTATGACAAATTTCATAACGTAACTGGGTAAGAGTCGTAAGTTGTTTTAACATAGTTGACGTCATCTTTCTCGAAACCTCAAAGTTTTTCTCTCTGTGATTATTGTTACATCATAGCATTTCCTAGTTTGTAGAAAATTCCAGGCCTTAGTGGGGCAAGGTATATATATATATAGGTGACCAAGTGACAAGTCAAGTAAAGTTCAGGCAAAAAAAGGTTAGTTAGCAGCAGAAAACGTGAACTTAGCCAGTGTGTGAGTGATTAGCCTTAACGGGCCATGCTTTAAAGTGAGTTTAACACAGATAAGGAGAATAATTTGTCTTATCAAAGGGTGTTCTAAAGTAATTGAACCCACCTGTGTGAATTTTGACGAAAAGGATACAATTACTTAAAGTTTGGGATACAACTGTGTTAATCCATGGGGTAACGTAGGTGAATTATTCACTGATATTATTGTGATAAGAGTAGAGAAAAATAATTCGTCTTGTCAGTTGGATTCTAAAGTAATTGAGTCAGCCTGTGTGGACTTTTGACAAGAAAGGAGAATTGTTTAGTTATAGATAAAACTGTGATATCCTATTGTGTAAAGACTTTTGTATATATGTTTGACTTGTTTTGAATGTATCATTTTAAAACAAATGGATTGGGTGCTTTCTGTTTATTGTTCAAATTAATCGCCAACAAATCACAGACACCTAC